TGATAAATCTTATGAAAAAAAAATAAAAAAATCTGTCGACATTTGGAAACGATCCATAGATGTCAAAACAATGTGAGCAGTGGCATAAACTTTAACCATCTTAGCTATCAAAACTTTGGGTGAGAGAGATCTCAAAGCCACACATGTTTATTGACAAACTCTAGAGCTTGTCCTACAATTCATAACAACTATAATAAGGAAAAATAATAATATAGTGGTTATAGCTGAGCTGCCATCCTTAAAAAAATAACTAAATATTTTTTCAAAATAATACTGGATTTGAAAATAATTATTAGCGTACGAGAGGAGTACATAAAAAATGTTTTGAAATCAAATTCAGTGCTTATAACTATGAGCATTTAGTTTCACAATTTAATCAAACAAGATTGATAGATAACATCGAAGCAAGTGCAGAAAAGTAAGTGTCCTTTCTATATATCTAGCATATACGCAGTAGCAGTCAAAAGAGAGAAACTCGCACCGTCACGTGCTTTGGCTCTGCGCTCAGCTATGTTGGAATGTAAAATGGGTCACTTGAGAGGGTTATAAATTTAACATGACACGGAAGAGTCAACGCATATACACGGGCAATATAGGACTCAGTGGGTATTTTTTCTTTGTGCTGAAGTATTTGATGACATTGAGCCCCACGCGTTTTTTGAACCATATTTACATCAGGAAGTACCTCCCGGTGCACTTTTTTATACTCTAAAGCTATGAAACGCACGAAAATCCGGAATAAAATACGCAGCTGCTGATGGTTTTCCTGTGTGTACACATATCTACAGCAGTACTCATATACATATAGGTACAGTACAAGCCTTTTCTGTCACTTTTGACGTCTGCTACGTTGTTGGGTGCAATGTGTTCTTCTATTTCTTTGTTGTTTTACGTCAACGTTGAAGACGCTAATTTTACTGTCTTGAGCAAGTAAACCAGTAATTTTATGCAGCTTCTCTCGCAGGTTAGAAGTTTGTAAACACAAAGCTTTAATTTTTGTTGGCGTCTCATTTACACAGCTTCCGCAATAAATAATATGCCACAGTTGTAACACTCTCTCTTCTTCAACGAAGTTTCTTTGCCTCTAATTAAGCGAAATCAAGGGGAAACGAGTTCTTCATTGTACCCTTGGTAAGGACCTTATCTAGTATTTCCACGCGATGCTGAATGGTAAACGTTGTGAGTCTCAACAGTGAAGAGGCTCGCAATAGCCGCAAAACTAGTACTACCTTCATCTTGCTCAAAGTGATGTTGTAAGAGTTGATTGTTCAAAGGTGAAGTGAAACGGTTATCCTCGAACGAGCTGGCCTAAGAACAAGCGTCCTTCTCTTGAAAACCTCAAGGGGCCATCAGTTAAAGTGAGGGCATGGGTCTGGCAAGCCCAAGCGACCTCTAGCCAGGGGAAATGAGCGCCGTTTCTTCGGAAGGCCATTCTCTACTGAGATTGAGTGATCTGATTACAAGTCTGAGGTAAAGAAACGAACACGCAGCTACAAGTCTGGCAGGCTGAGGGCCAAACCTTAAATGCGAACCGCTAAATACTGTTACCACGAGTGCGAGCTTCAACATTGGCACGACGCACGGTTCTCGAAAGCCAATATATGAGTAGCTTGAGACTGCTGTACTGGTGACTCATACAATAAAATCGTCTTAACAGGCGTACCATACGTGCATACGGTTAAATCTCCAGTTAACCTTCTTCGAAAGCACAATCGCCCAGATAACTTGAGGAATGTAATCTTACTTAGTACAGCGCAAATACTCTTAGAAAACAGATTACCTCGAAGACTTACATGCTTTTCTTATTCTAGAATGCCATCATAATGAGAAGCTTAGTTTGTTATGCACCTCTTATTAATCTTTATTTATACGTTGTATGAAAAGTTAATCACAATTTGTTTTGTAATCAAATTGTTGAATTGAATGGTGCACCACTTTTACACTTTAGGTTTTGTATTTGTCAGTATATTGTTTAGCTTTACTGCAATCAATCTGTCTTCTATATATACGCAAATTATTTTTCCGAACTCATACTGATGATTCAACCACTAAAGAAAAATGATTTTACATTCTGAGTGAAGACATACTTCTGAAAAAAACCACATGTTTCTTTCTACTTGACCTTTATTCACCAGGCCGTAAGTATTGCAGTACATGCAATAAGCTTACAAAACGTAGTTTTTTAGAACATCGAAAATAATGTTTAATGCTTACCACGTGCAAGGAGCATAATATAGCATACATAAAAATCAAACAATTTCTCTATACAGACTAAATCTGAGAATTCTTGACAAATAGTTGAAACCTTGGGTTTTAACTTCTAATAAAGTAGTTAACGTTCTTGCGACTGGTAATATAAAGCTTGAAAATAAATTTGGTATAAAGTTGAAGCAGAATGAACAACAAAAAAATTAACAAAAAATTAAAATAAAAGATAAAGAGCCTGTAAGAAAAACACTTGTGCCTACGTAAAGTGCAGTTAATGGAGCTGCGTCAAAGGATATATACTGGAAGCAAAAGTGCTGAAAAAGTCACTGGAAATGTTATCTAAGGTTCACGTAGTGTTTTTCAAAAATTTGGGTAGGAAGAAGTTTTATAAGGTAAGGTAAAAGCAATGTCCTTATGCTAAAATAAGTGGACCTTTGCTTTTGATTTTATTGTTTGCTAGTTTAAGTGTAACAAGCACTATAGTTAATAAAATAGCAAAAATCATGAAAAGCATTATTTCTCCTTATTCAAGTTACTTACAGCAGCTAGTAGAAAATCAGAGACGTAATTAGAATATAAACTATTTGTTTTTATCAGGGTTTGTAACTTTATCAGTATATAACTAAATGAGAAGCTCATTTAAAGCCTCACACAGGACGAGGTTAAAAAAAAAGAAAAAAAAATTAGTAGATAAGCTTTGACGAATCTGAAACAGCTTGTGCTACTAGATTGGCTGTACTTTGCTAGCTCAATATAGCTTGCTGGCTCATCTCGTGCTACTGTATCCCGATGGCTTACTGTGCTGGTTCACCTTGTGCTGCTGTATCTCGATGGCTCAACTCATACTATCGGACGAACTGTATCTCATTATATTATTTTGGCTCATGCTTATTTAAACTGAAGTATAGGGACCCTCTCCCCCTCATGGGTGCATGAGGCTACTTGTGCCAGGCTTACTCCAGCATCTTTTATCAAATTTTAACGGTATTTAAAAATTCTAATAGTATTTGAACCTCCGTCTCCAGGTTGACAGGTAGACAAGCTGCCAACTGTGCTATCAGAGAGCTGGTGAGTATGTTCTCAAATCTAAATATGTTTGTTTGCCTTATTTATGACTACAACTTTTCTTATGCTCATATTAGCAACACAGAGAAGTGGTGAAAACACTTAGGGGAGAGCGGGGTATGCTCCGTCCGTCGCGTAACTCCGACAACCTAATTTTTTCTTATACTGATGCATATTGCCAACGAAATCTATTTGAAATCAGTTATTTAATGCTTTCATTTAATTCCTCTCCAAAAGTTGTAAGAGAGAAGAGTGATTTTTTTACAGTCGACTGATTAAATTATCAATAGGTATTTTGGAATGAGTTTTTTAAAAATTTTGGTCTCTGATTTAACACTGAAGTATTTAGGTAACACAAATCAAAGTTAGCATATTCAAAAATTGGAATTTTCAACTATAGCCAGATATTTTTTTTTTTTTATAGATCTAATATTAAAAATGATATAAATTATTTAAACAAGGTCTCGTGTGGAGCACAGTCCGTCTCCCATGGTGGGGCACAAGCTAGCCTGAGCTGTATGCGTGGCAACAGTTGTGCAGGCGTTTTAACTGAAAAAGTTTCGGCTGCTGCTTGGTTGTCGTTTAACCT